AGTGTATGGAAGAGGGGGGGGGGGGGGGGGGGGGGGGGGACATGCGGTGTTTGAACATTTCATATGACTAAAGTTCAAGCATTTCAACTTGAAATTCATGCACATATGACTAAAGTTTAAGCATTTTGTTTGTCATGTTAAACTTCGAACATGGTATGTTTGATGTTTGTTGAAACTTCAAGCATTTCAACATGAACTCAAGTTCATGTACATATATGATTGAAGTTCAGCTATTTCTAATCGGCATATTAAACTTCACACATTCTTGTAAAACCTAACTTTAGACATGGCATGTTTGAAGTTTATGGAATTTAAGCAGTAACTGGTATCAAAGATTCTTCCGAACTTAGCCTATCGGACCGGGTTGACCCACCAAAAAAGGCCTAGAAGACAAAATTGGGCCTGGCCCCGGGCCGGGGCACAAATAATGGACCTTAGCTGGTCCGTGTTTTTTCAGCCCATGAACTTGTTTGAACCAGGCCCGTTGAAGTTTTGACAAGTTACATAATAATAATATGATAATGATAATAAAAAAGTTGAAGGGCATTTTCGTAATCCAACTTTAGACTAAGCACCTTTCTACTTATAATATAATAATAAATAATAATATATATATATACACACTCCTGATGATATGCTTTTTTCGTTTCAAGTTAAATCTCATTTTATCATAGAGGCAGAATAAGAATCGCGAGTTAATGAATTGTGAATCATAAAAAGAATAAATTATTGAGTTTTGATAAATTATGTTAAATATATTAAGTGGATTCCTTAACACGAGTTTACGATTTTGACCAAAATTATCGTGTTCTACTAGACGTATAGCTTTTTCTCTAGTCGATTAATTAGATCATATAAAATCATATAATAGAATAAAGCCTGAATTTTGGCTTCTCAACTAACTGGTTTAAATATTCATAAATGTGCATAGTTAGCTTTTAATACATTGAACTATTGAAATAAATGAAAAAATAGAAGTTAGGTAAGGTTATTAAACATTGTAGGATGTTTATGTGTTACAATAATAAAAATATATCTAGTGTAGTTTTATAAGTTGAATCTCAAAAAATAGGACGTACATATACCGTCCTTTGTCTCTATCTTTGTGGGCGTAGAGTGGGTGTTTCCAATAGATCCTTAGCTCAAAAGAAGTGTAATCAAATCTAAATTGAAAGGAAAATAACAATGGTAGAATAACAAGATAAATAAGGAAAATAAAATTACGTATATAACAATATAATAGTGAAAAAACGAATAATAAGGTATATTATGTAAATATTAACTAATACTAGATTAGGAGACTGAGCACTGCCTCTCCGACATTAAAAAAAAATGACAACATGTAAGATAATTTCCTTAAGATGTAATAAGGATATTTGTCTGGATTATATACAAAAACTTTAATAATAATAATTTTTATTTATGTACCGAGCATAAGAAATTCAACTATTTTTCCTTCATACCAACCACACCCTTAATGCTAAAAACCCTAAACGTTGAACTCTATATAACTTCAAGTAGAATTCTCTATTAAACCAAAAAATGGAATATTACAACATTGTGATCATCAAATTCTTGGAAAATCCTTTCATAGGACTTTTCCTTCTACTTTTATCATTAAATTATTCTTATTTCTTAATTCCAAAATTCCCAAAAGGCATTCCAAGAATAATTGCACTTTCACCAATTTTTTACATTTTGTATTTTTTCCCTTGGTGTTTCTCATTTGCATTTCTTAGAGGCATTTTGTCTTTTTTCATTACATGGATTACTTCTTTCAAACTCATTCTCTTTTGTTTCAACAAAGGCCCTCTTTCCCTTTGCAAAAATCCTATTGACTTTATAGTCATTTCCATTTTCCCACTCAAAATTTCGAAATATGAGATTTTCGATGAAAAGTCTGTCAGAAATACTTCCAACAAACCAATTTATGACGAAAAAATTGTGGATCGAGAATATGAGATTTCTGAAGAAAATTCCATCAGAAAAATTTCTGACCTAAAAACTCCAAGGGATGTTAGTCAGAAATATGAGATTTTTGACATAAATATTTTCAAAAGGTATGAGATGGAGGAGATTTTTAAACAACCATATTTAGCTACATCTTTTCGAGATTTCTGGGGAAGGAGATGGAATCGATATTCATCGAAAATGTTGAGATTAACAATTTATGATCCAACAAATGAAGCTTTGAAGAATTTGAGTTTTTTGGGTAAAAATACAAGAAATTTATTAGCAATTGTGAGTACATTTGTGGTTTCAGCTATAATGCATGAACTAATGTTTTATTATATTACATGTAGTTTATGTTTAAAACCAACATGTGAAGTAATGTGGTTTTTTGTGTTACAAGGAATTTGCATTTCTTGTGAAAAGTTTTTTCATGCAAAAAATTGGGCAATTATGGATGCAAGAATTTCAATATTATTAAAACGTATTTTTATTGTTTTTTCATTTTATTTTTTGTTAGTTTTACCAGTAGTGAGGGAAGGAAAAAATACATGTGAAGTCACCAAATAATAATTGGGACTTGGTATTGTTGGTCTTGGATTAATTCTATTGTAATTGTGTTTTATTTCGAAAAGATTTTCTGAATGAAATTCTTTTTTTTTGTTGTCATCTAACAATGTTTTGTCAGATTTTTTTCTAAACCTTGACTTTAATAAGTGAGTATGAACTAACTTGATAATTATAATAACATTAATTACGCTTCAGTCTTAAATAAATAACGATAAAATTTGCTTTGTACACTAACAAATAGTAGTTGACATAACTATCTTTGATTGTGTCCTGCCTTTCATTGAGTCTACATGTCTTTCAAAAGATTATAGGTCTTTCGAGACAACTCCTTCCTTCCATGTGATTTTAGGTCTCGACTCAGGACATTGTCAAACCATCTCAAGTGACGTTTTCTCATTTTATTTTCGATGTGTGCTACTTGTACCTTCCGGTGAATATAGTCATTTTTAGTCAGTGTCTTTAGAGACATCACAAAATTGGAATGAAACACAACCATTTGGTTGTCCATTCTTATCAAAAGCCCAATCCTTACAATCTGATAACAAGATCCATTACCCTGCATCTTGCTATTAGGCCAAAATACAGCAAGAATATCTTCAACTAGACACAACACAAAATCTCGAATGTATAAACTTTAACGCGTTTCATGTCTTCATGATGTGCACGAAAAACATCAGAGAGACTGTAAGGTACATCAACGACTTCAATTGAAGCTAGTTCTGATAATAGACAAATGTGGATAGTTCATATTTGTGAAGAAGCTCCATCTAGTCTACAATGAAGAAAGTGATTCTCGACCATAGAAGCAAGCATATATCTACACGAAATGCTTGTGATAAGACCTGTATAAATTTTGAAGGGGGATTTGCAGCAAATAAGGGGAAAGAATGTTATACATAAGGTAAATAGCAACAGAGAAAATCCAATCCATCCTAAGAAGCAATTTATGCAAGCTCTACGTTTGTGCAATATCTCACCAGATGAGGCTCAAATAATCCACTGGAATGCAAAGTGATTCATCAGCTAACTAAATCAGAGAATCTCAATCATATGCGAGCATTGCCACTTCCAAGTGTGAGTTCCAGATCATCGAATCCTACATCGTGAATCCTTTCCCCTTCCCATGCCTTGACTGATACATTTTCAAAGTCGAAGTCTATGCTCTTACCCTTGTCTGTGATCATATCATTAGGACGAAGTGGCTGAGGCACAGGTTTTACAAGATTAAATGTTGGAGAAGGTGGAACATTTGCCGCGTACTTTTGAAAGTTGATCCACTGGCCTGAATCAATGGTAGATGAGTCAGATTCATCACACTCGGGTATAGTTGGAGGAGTAAAACGCTGACCCCTAGTTGGGCTTGCTGGGGCTGAAGCAGCAAAGAAAGGGATGTTTAAAGCAAACATTGATTCTTTGGCCAAAGTCTCTAAATTGAATGTTTGCTTAGGATGCCTAGTTGGTGATGAAAGAGGTGGAGTTACAGGGGCACTGTTTGATATTCGTAATGGAGGAAGGGATGAAGGAATGACATTATGGAGAAAAGAATATGGGTGTGATGACATGTTAGCATCAGCACGGGATGGACTGGGGAAAGAAGAGGAAGTTGGACTCGGCTGATAAGACGGAATTGGACTAGCAAAGTATGATGATGGGGGACTTGGATGCCGTGAAGAACTTGGTGTGATGTTTGTTGAAGTGCCTCCAATCTCCATCGGGGTTGGCTTGCATCCCTGAATCACACAATAGAAGAAAGAAGTCAGTACCAAATTTTCTGCACCTAAACGAGATTATAATAACCTTAAACAGATCCCAAGTTTTGCATTAAGTTACTAATACCAAGCCACACACTCAGGATAGATTACCAATATAAACGTTAGTGATATTAGAGTTTCAGAGAGCAAATTTGCAGGATAACATGGCAAGACAGGAAATTACTCCAACGCTCAACCCAACGGGAAGATCGTATTATCCTAACAGCAAATGTCTTCACGTCAAACATTGCTTATTGTTTAAGTTCTAAATCCCAAACCACACAATTAATATCGACAACACAGAAAACATTAACACAAAAGTTCTCAAAATTTGAGTTTTCAGAGAGAAAAGCGCGGGCAATTGAGCTAATAAAAGAAACCTCAACAGATAACAAATTTGGAATCAGGGCAAGCATTCACTACAGAAAGAAAAAAAAAACACCAAAGGCCATGTTGCTCGGACTCACCAATGTCATACCTAGGCGGATACTCCAAAAATGCATTAATCTTGGAGGATCTGACACACACTCATAGGGGGGAAATGCTTGAACTTTCCAGTTCAATTGTTGTTAATTTGGTAGCGAAAAACAGGGTCCTTTTATTTGGAGCTTTTGGGGTGGAGCTGGATACTAACGCCTTAGCCTATGTTGCTCGGACTCTCCAATGTCGTACCTGTGCAGATCCTACAAAAATGCACTAATCTTGGAGGATCCAACACGGACGGTTTTGAAGAGTCCAAGCAACATAGCCTAAGGCGAAACTCAAAAAGCATCCAACTCCACCCCCAAAAGCTCCAAAAAAGGACCCTTTATCCACTACCAAATTAACAACAATTGAACTGGAAAGTTCAATCATTTCCCTCTAAAACCCCTCCCATTTTCTAACAAAACTGTACACTAGATCACTCTAATTTCTCAAAATAGCCAACACACAAGAACAATGAACAGATCAAAACAAAGAAATTCAGCAAATCCAGAAGCTTAGCAACTTAAAATTGATGTTCATATGTACTAAAATCCATCAAAATAGGTGCACTGAAAAAACAATCTAGATCCAAAAAGAACAAAACCTGTAGATCTAAGCAAATCCAAGCAAAACCCATTAATGGTGTTCACCAAAAACACAGAAATTAACCTAACAATCAATCAATTGAAGCAAATTGAAGAGGGAAAAATCGAAAAAACCTTGCGATAAGTGGTACCATCAGGTTCAACGATCCAACCAGCTTCAGTACAAAGAGCTTTAAGAACTTCATTGTTATCACAGTGTTTAGGAAGATTATAGTTTCCTTGAGCTCTTAAACCAGTATAAATCTTAGCAGCTACAGCTCTCCTCCTTCTCTCTCTTCTCCTGTTATTCTCTCTTTCTCTCCATGATGGTTTCCTCCTCCCACCACCACCACTTTCCGGTATACCAACTCCGGCACCTCCACTTCCACCGGCTCCGGCACCGGCGGAGGAAGATGCTGGTGATTCTCCAGCTTCCCACATCATGATTTTGTTGTTGTTGTTCTCTTTTTCTCTCTCACACACGCGCGCTTTCTCTTTCTCTCTCTGTCTCTGTGTGTGTGTATATGAGAAGAAGAGAAAATGGAGTGGTCCCAGGTGGGGGTAGGGTGGCGTGGGGCGGTGGGGGGGTGTTGCAGACACACGTCTGAGACTATACTCACGAGAAAGACGTTCAACAAAGCAAAGAAGAATCTTTGATGTTTCTCTCTATAGGTAGTGGTGTTGTCTTGTATGTGTTGTGTACACATACGCATTCGGGGTATCGTGGATGAGGTTGCTCCATCCTACTCAGCGTGAATCGAATGGAGTACTACTTAATGTGAATTCAAAACCGTTAGGATATAGTATCGTGGATGGGGTTGCTCTGACTACTATCCTCCAAAATGAATCCTACTCAGTGCGAATCGAATAACGTCCTATCGAACGCTAATTTAAAATAATAAGTATGTGGTATCATAGATGGGGTTGCTCTGACTGCTATTCTCCGAATGAAATACTACTCGGTGTGAATCGAATGGCACCTATTTAACGGGAATCCGAAATAGTATGGATGTAGTACCGTGGATGGCATTGCTCTGACTGCTATGCTCTGAATGGAATTCTATTCAACGCAAATCGCATGGGGTCCTACCTAACAAGAATTTGAAATAGTCAAACTGATATCAAATGGGAAATAAAAAAAAAGATATAGTATATAGTGTGTGTATATATATAGTTTGTAATAAACAAAGGGTCGTTTGGTAGCTAGTAAAGAAACAACTTATTCACTTATTAATTTTTTTAATAAGTTATAAAAATTATTCATGTATAAAATTAATAAGATATTTGATTTGTAATTTTAAAACCTGCATGACTAATACATGCATTGATTCTAATGAAATTTGTGTATTATTTTATGTGGATGAGAAGACAAAATAATTAATACCGCATAATTAATATAAGCATAATTAAATCTGTATAATTCTGACCAACTACCAAACAACCCTAAGGGGTCGTATGATTGTTGGTTAGGAAGTGAATTATTAATGTATCACTAAAAGGATCGTGTGATTAATAAGAAGTGAATTATTTATGTATCAAACTCATGATAACTAGTACCATATTAAGTAGAACTTTAGTTGTAATGTATAAAATTCAGTATACCAAGTGATTTATTCGGTTACCAATTTTACAATCTCGCATAATTAATACATGTATAAGTTACTTATCACTTTATGTTGGATAGAAAATTAAATAACTAACTACATGAATAATTAAATCTACATAATTGACCTTTATATTATTAATACTTGCATAACTCTAATCAACCACTAAACAATCCTTAATTTATCAAAGACATAATATATAAATATGTTATTTAAATTCGCTTTAACTTTTAAACATCACAAATAAAGGTAGTGTATATAAATTGAGATTAACATAATATATAAGTCAAATTATTATTTCGAATTTCATTTTTAATCAAATCAAAAGTCATACAGATATAATAATAAATATAGTAAGATTATTTAAGTAATTGTACAAAACCAAGCACATGTTGTGGGATTATGGCCTTGTGGGTGGGGAACAATTCTTCTTTATTTCACTTTTTTTTTTCTCTTTCTTCTGCAAAATGATTTGTTAGCAGAGTTGTCTCTTTTAATTATTAATTAAAATTCAGTCAACCAGCCAATAGAAATTTGCCACGTAGGAAATAATCAATTATTTGCTGAGGAAATCAATATTTTTCTTTTTTTTCTTCAAATGAATATAGGTAGGATATGAAAAGAATAGCGAGTACACAAACTTTACCCCTACAAGATAAAGAGAGGTGGTTTCCGATAGACTCTCAACTCAAGTAAAAACAACAGAGTAAAGAAGCCAACACAAAATGTTAAAGAAAGGATGGCAATGCATATTAAAAATGTAACATTGACTATTATAAAATAATTAGATAATCGAAATGCACGATGATAGGGTCTGAAAAGGATAGCAAATACACAGACATTACCCCTACAAGATCTAAAGAAAGGTAGTTTCCAATAGACTCTCGACTCAAATAAAAACAACACAGTAGTTTGGAAAAGAGCAACAACGGAGTGTAGAAGCTAAGACAAAATGTTATAGATAGCATGACATTGTCATATAAAAAGTTACTACCACAAAATAATACAATAATCGAAGTGCAAGATAGACAAAAACATAAATTCAAATTGTACATAAATTCATCCAAGCAGAGATCTCTACCACCTTCAGTCCTTCTTGCATGAGTTGTTGCAAAGTTTACACTCTAAATCATACAGAAAACTTTCTGCAGGTTTTAAGTTTTGCATGTATCTAATAACATTTTGCACTCAATCTTTTTCACAATGACCACATGTAGAAATGGTTCTTTCTGGTCCAACTTTACAGACTTTGAGAGCCTTCAACTTCCGGCATCGGCATCATCATCATCAACTAATTGATTCTGCATTTGAGACATTACATGCAGCGTTGGAAGTACGTTTGCCCTACATATCCTCCAGACATTGCCCTTCTGACATTAGACTCGAACATGCTCGGGTTGTCACTCAACACAGCAGCTGCTTCATGATTGAGGGGATCCTCGTGATTGGGTTCCTGCAGAATCGGAAGTTATAAACTACCAACTACTTAGAGTAGTGTAAACTACATCAAACTAGAAGGAAGTTAAAGTACCGTGAACAGATGATACAAGCCATAGATTACTGTGTTGATGTTGAGCACAGGTTTCCAGTCTTCTCGAAGAATGTTGAGACATACATTTCCTTCCAAGTCAATATTCGGGTGGTAAACCTGCAAAATCCGAGTTTCCAGAGCTAATGGATAAAACAATTGGAATCTAAATTCATTCATCAAGAAATTAAAAGAGTCGAATAGAAAAAGCTATAAACCATTACCCACCTTCGTCTTGCACTTGACTTTTGGAGCCTCATGAGGATAAATAGAAGAAATGCTGAAAGAGAAGACAAAAGTTCCACCCCTGAATACGAACAAATAATACAATGTATGTTATCAGCACCGAGGAAAGCTAACTTGAAGCGCACCAATTTTCCATAAAATACGAAAGCAGAAAGGTATATCCATGTCGAAGTAAGCTTTTTTCAGGAATATACTCCATTAAAGAGAGAGAATAGTTTCAGCAAAACTACTTACATATAATATCCGTCATCAGGCCGAATGGTGACTTCAAAGTTCATGAGGTCATCTTTTCCGTTAGGGAATGATATGCTACACGTTTTAGGTAGATTTAGTTCACTGATATCTACAGGGAACAAGAAAAACGTTAAGGCCATCTCACAATTTCATTAGTGTGGAAAAAAATAGAAGACAAATAAATAGTCGGAGAAAAGAACCACTCAGAACAAAGAAAAATAAATGAATCCCTTTTGTATAGATTCTTTATTATAAGGGGAAACATTCTATGATGAATCCGAAAATGAGGCAGTGAAGGAAGGAACTGATACAATCATTCATGAACTTCCGTCAAAAAGTTCATCAATCAAAAGAAAGACGAAGAAAACCCCTTCACTAGAAAGTGCTTTGCATCAAGATTCAAGCAACAACAATCTTCACTTTTCACTCTCAATATATGTTAGCTGTCACATATAGATGTTCAAGCAACATCAATCTTCAACAGTGGATGGTCAAACATAACACAATTTTCGCCTCTATACGAGTAAAAGGAGTCAACATAGAAATGACAATAAATCACATCAAATCTCTACAGCAATATATGGGAGATTTGGGGAAACCCGTGAATGATGAAATATGAAATTGGGGGGGACTCCAAATTTCACTGCCTTCTGGCCTCCATTTACACTAACCCTCCTCCAACGGTCCAACCTCCCACTTCTTACCTTCACTGTCACAAAGAACCACCTTAAGGGGGATCCACTTTGACACACACGTTGGATTCTAGCAATACACAGCATGGGCCTGTAAACTTGTAGTTGTAGCTGGTGGACGCACTGTTTGGGAAATACCTGAGATCAACAACTCCCACCCCCTCCAGTAAAGTACTACATTTTCTAGTTTTTTTACTTTTTTTTTTATCAGGAAGCACTACATTCTCTCTTACAATTTTTTCAGCATACCACAGTGTTATCAAAAGCGAAAAGCACAAAAATTCTCTAAGCTCTGTTGGGACTTGGGGCTTTAAGTGCAAAGCGCAAGTAAAGTGTAAGCTTTAATGAAAAACGACACAATGGAGAAAAGTAAAAATATATATGTTTGATTCGAGACTAACAATTATAAGTATGAACATCAAATATATGAACAAAGAATTGAAAAAAAAAAATGTACAATGAAGTAAAATATTAATCGTTTAGTATCACCTCTTCAGGAAACTTTCATGAGAAAAAAAGTATATCTTAGAGTCTTGAATCGCACATTAAGCGAGGCGAAGCGCTCAACATATTTTGCGCCTCACTTCAGGGCATAAGCACGCCTTTGACAACACTGGCCTACCGAGATAACCTATGACCTTTTTCAGGATCATCTTACATTTGGAAAATTCTACATTTACTACACACTGCCACGTGTTCCCATGGTACCAAAGAGGAGAAAACTGGTTCATGTCATGAACCACAACTTCTCATGTCTCAAATTATAATCAGAGTGCACTATTTCATCTGAAACTTTACATGGAAGATCTCTAAAGGGTAAGCACACAACTGAAATGAAACCCTAGCTAATCAAATCTAAATTGACCAATTTGGCATGCCAAAAGAAAGAAGAAATTACTTTGCATGAAACGAAATGATTAAGTACTTATTTGATTTGAAAGATTTTACGAAGAAAGAGAAAAGGAAATACCTTTATGAAGACGCAGCTCTCCTGCACTTTGTTTCTTAATTGGAGGCTTTCCATTAGCATTTTCAGCAAGCTCTCTCTGTTTCTCCTTTACTTTAAATAGCTTAATCATGGTCCCTACAAAAGCAAAATGACACGTTGAACCATAATAAGAACTACGAGATGAAATACATGAAAAATGAATCTTCTCCATCTTTTTCATTTATAAGTACAAATAACAACATCTAAGTACATAAAAATTCCTGCAGTTGTCAACTGAGCCTCTGCCCCAAAGTATTTGGGTTCGAAAATATGAATCTCTGTATCATTACATGCTATTCAAGTTCATTCAATATTGAATAATAAAGCAAATTAGAAGTTCTCTTGAACTAAAGGTTCTTCAAATTTCACATTTATTCTTATAGAGAT